TGCAGCACTACCTTGAGCTACAAACTACATTAAAAGCAGCTTCTTTTAACCATTATAACAACAGGAACAAAATTTTTCATTATTATAATTGAGCAAATTAACTAACTCTGTGAGAACACTGTCTTCCGTGATGATTTTTTTCTCCCAGTCCCATGGTGGTTTGGTATGATAAGGTTTTCTTATAATATGCAATGATGTGACATTCTAGATTATAGTCACATAATTATGTCATGCTTTAATCAGACTACAACTGGAATTACTGCAAACTCATATTACAGTTTCAAATACACCCATGTGGTTGTTCACATGTATTGCATCTTTAACTATTCCTGACCGTCCATCTGACTTAGCTTTTATTAAAATAACTGATAAATAATGTAGGATGTTGTGCAGAATTTACAACACTTCTGTAAATGTTTAGGTATTCTTCATGTTGTGAATAATTCCTATTGTAGTTGTTCAGTATGATTCAATAGATGCTTTTGTTCTGTTCTATATGAACTGAATTTATGCTTTCCTTCTTTGAGAATGAAAAACAACTTGTTCTTCTTAGTAGGCAATATAGTAGATTGTATTTGTGTTCAAAATCCTGCCCAAATATTACAAATCAGTTGTGACACTTTCTTTTTACAGTGACATCAAGAAACTTTTGCTTGATCCTGAATTTACTCTCTTGCAAAGGTGCCTCCTGCTTTCAAGGTAACAGATTCTGACAAAAGTCAAAAGTCTTTTCAAAATAAGGTCCTGATCCTATCAACACACATAAATGTGCTTTAAATAAGCAGGAATTCCCATTAAAGTTAATGAGACAACTGAAGTGAGTAATTAAGCACATGTCTAAGTGTTTTCTAGGCTGAGGTTATTACTTTAATTAGTGAATTTTGCATTTGTAGTAAATTTTGGATTCGTGTGAAAAGGACCTTAACATGGTTGAATGGAATTACATTTTATAAAGCTTTAAGGAACTGCCTGTGTTGAAATAGGAATTATTTGTTCAGTGTCCTAATACCTGGTAAGTGCCTTACAGAAAGATGCATCTTTTCTGTACTTAACTACCTTTTAAATACATAACTTTTATTATCTAACATATAAAAACAGTCAGTGTTGTGGTTTTCATGTGGTTCAGAAGTTCAAATTAATTTGTAGCTATGATGCATAATAGTATAATACTTCATTTTGATTTTTGACTTAGACTCTATGGTGATGAATCTGAACTGCATTTCTGGACTGTTGCTGCCCATTATTTGCATAATTTATACCAGGAAAAAGTGCAAACTGCAAAAACTACAGACACAGTTATTCTTCCAGAAAAACTGGTCAATCCATTGGATATATGTTATGATATACTGTGTGAAAATTCCTATTTTCAGGTATTTTGAGGCATTTTTATATAATATTAATATGTGATTAAATCAAGAAAAAGGCTTTGAATTAATTATGAAGTTCTACTCTGAACTCAGCCTAGTCATAAGCTTAAAACACAGAGCTTCTACACATGCAATTAGTGTGGAGCAATAAGCTCTGGCACAGTGGCATAGTTTGCTCAGAAACAGCAGCTCCCGCGCTCAGCCTACACACGTGTGTCTCGGCCCACAGCAGTTAGCACTGGGGCGGTACAGCCCCGGGCTGGCAGCAAGCCTGGGGAGGGGTCAACCTCAGACTCTGGGTTCCAGCGTTGGGTGGTGGAGGGGCTGGCTGAGGCATGAGGGGGGCAGCCCCCATGCTGTAGCACCCTTGTGCCCCAGCTGGTCCCAGTTACTATCTACATGTGTCTTGAGGTGGCATAAATTACTCTGCCACAGGATAATACTTGTCCCAGACAGTACTATCCTGCGAAGGAGTTAATTTTCTGCACCCTACAGGCACACGTATAGACAGTGGCACTTTACTGCAGAGCTAATTAGTCAACTCCATGTTAAAATCCACATGTAGTTGCACCCAGTGCTGTTAAGAGGTTGTGGGATGTTGGTGGTTAAATATAATGCATTTTTGTAACTATATTTATTGCAAATATAGATAAAGTTCCTATAAGACCACATAATATTTTTGGCACATTAGCAGTTCATATTATGGGAAAAGTTCTGTTGTATGTGTTAGCAAGATTATTCAAAGGCTTGTATAAGTATTTTTTCTTCTCTTTAGAAATTTCAGCTTGAAAGAGTAAATCTACAGGAAGTTAAAAGATCAACTTATGATCATACCAGGAAATGTGCTGACCAACTCCTCCTCCTTGGACAGGTTCGTAGGTGATGGGTTTTTTTCTTTTCATAGTACATCCCTCTCATTTCTATGGACTTTGCATGTTTCTAATCCTCCTCTATCTATTCGAGATGGCATCAGTCTTAAATGGGATAGGGATAATACTCTGATATTCATCCAAGACTCAGCTGGATATGTTGCTGGCATATTGTATGTGTGGATCTAAGGAAGTGGAAATGTTGTGCAAGGTGTCATCCAAAAACAGAAGGTCCTTCAAGCTGCATTGTTCTGTTAGTTCTCTGCTTTTTTTATGTTTTTCCTATATATATATATATCTCCAAGCAATAGAATGCTACCTTTTGCAATATTTGCTCCGATAACTCGGTGTGTAGCTGAAATTATTTGCAGATAGGTTTACAATACCTTATGGTTTATGGCATCAGAGAGACTATCAGTTCTAAAGGCCTGAACCTTTGATCTTCATCGGTAACAATGAGAATATATATCAACATTAGTATATTAACTTTATGTCATCTAAAACCAGTTTTTACTTTGTTATATATAAAATGCTTATACAATAAAGATAAGTGCAAAGTTCTGCATTTAGGCCAAAACAGTCCCATGCAGCAGTACAGATTGGGAACTGCCTGGCTCTGCAGGAAAGGATCTGGGGTTACAGTGGACAGTAAACTGAATATGAGTCAACTATGTGGCATTGTTGCGAACAAGGCTAATAGCCTACTGGGCTGCATTAGTAGGAGTGTTGCCAGCAGATCTGCAGTACTGTGTCCAGCTTTACCCTACCCTGCTACAGAGAGGATATGAGCAAAGTGGAGAGAGCCCCGTGGAGGGCAATGAAAATGGTTAGGGGTCTGAGGCATGTGACTGCTGAGGAGAGGCTGGGGGAACTGGGTGTATTTAGTCTGCAGAAGAGAAGACTATGGGGGGATTTAATAGCAGCCTTCAACTACCTGAAGGGTGTGTCCAAAGATGATGGAACTAGACTGTTCTCAGTGGTGGCAGATCGGACAACAAGGAGGAATGGTCTTAAGTTGCAGCAAGGGAAGTTTAGGTTGGATATTAGGAAAAACTTTTTCACTAGGAGGGTAGTAAAGCACTGGAACAGGTTACTCAGAGAGGTTGTGGACTCTCCATCCTTGGAGATTTTTAAAACCCAGCAACACAGCCTTGGCTGGGATAATATAGATGGGGCTGGTCCTGCTTTGAACAAGGGGTTGGACAAGATGACCTCCTGAGGTCCCTTCCAGCCTTAATTTTCTATGATTCTATAGATGCCGTTCATCTATTTCTCTAGTTCTCTCCATCAGCCTGCCATTTAGGTAATTTTTAAGTGTTATTTCAGATACTAAATTAACCCATGAAATCCTGGCCAGTTTCTCTGCTTTTACAATCTTTATTTCCTGCCAACTTATTTTTAATACTTTTCTTTCCTGTTTTACTCTTGTGAGAAGACCACACAAACTGGGGAAATTACATACTCTATTTGCTATTTTCTTCTTTTTAAGACCTTTTCAGGAAAGCACTTAAGTATATGTTTTGATCTTGTTCTTGTTCAGGATACATGTTTAGTTCTGTCTGAATAAGGGTGTTTTCCTGATTTGGGGCAGTAAATAGTAGGGGTGCACCGATAGAAATTTTGGGGGCCAATACCAATAGCCGATATTTAAGGAGGCATATCAGCTGATACCAATCTGATTTCCAATACAGCTGCTTCCAGCTGGTAAGTCCAGTGTAGTGGAAGGGGAGGGGTAAGGGAAGGGGTGTAGAGGGGGGGCAGATTAATGTGGTTGAAGGAGGGGGCAGGGACAGGCGCAGCCCAGGCTGGGCGGAGATGGGGCGGAGCTGCAGCCAGGGTGGGGGCAGCTCCCACCACTGCTTACATGGCAGGAGGGTACAGGGGGCCATGCCCCCCTGGATCTGTGCGGGGCAGGCACTGGTAGGATGCTGCATCCACCCCAGATTTCGCCGCCACTCACTCCTAGCACTGCCACCACCAGCCACCCAGCGCTGCTCCGGCTCAACGTCCTACCTCCACCCACACACTGGGAAGAGCCAGAGGTGTGGCTGGCAGTGGCAGTGCTGGGAGCTGAGCTGTGGTGAAATCTGGGGTGGATGCAGCATCCTACCAGTGCTGCCAGCATCCGCTCTGAGCCCAGCCCCTGCTGAGAAGAGCCACCTCCCCCCACCCCACCTGGGTGGCGCCTGCCCCTGCCCCCTCCCTCACTGCGGGGGCCGCTGATCTGCCCCCTTCCCCTTCCCTCCCCGCTTCCCTTCCACCACAATGGACTGACCAGCTGGAGGCAGCTCTCCATGCTACTGGCTCTGCTCCTCACACGGGCATCTATTGGCCAAATTATCGGTACCATCAGGCCAATATCCAGTACAAAAAATTCTTTATATCGGTACCGATCTGATACCAGACCAATGTATCAGTGCACCTCTTGTAATTAGTTAATAAACTGAAAAAAATATGTATCTTCCTTCCCATTTCCTTCAGTCTCTATTACAGTAAGTGTTTGGGTGTTTAAGAGTTTTTAAAGAAGTAGGATCAAATGTTCTAAAACAAGACTATTTCAAGGTGGCAGTGCCTTGTTAAAGAAAATGTCATTTTATTTTCCCCCCAGACTGACAGAGCAGTACAACTACTGTTAGAGACAAGTGCAGAAAATCCACATTATTACTGTGATTCACTCAAGGCCTGTTTGGTCACAACAGTCACTTCATCAGGTCCTTCTCAAAGCACTATTAAACTGGTAGCAACCAATATGATAGCAAATGGAAAGCTGGCAGGTAAGTATGTAAGCAAGTTTACTAGTAGCTAATAAAGAGATTAATGCAATGAGACAAAAAGCATGTTTTTATAATAAACTTTTTTAGGGTACTTGTTTCATAGGGTGTGCCATGACAGATGTTTGTAAGATATTAGTAATAATTAGTAAGCATGTAGTAATAAAAACCAACTTGTTCTGCTGTTTTTATTAGAAACTGTATTTCAGAAATTAACCTGCTTGCAATTTATTGCTTACACTTACGAAAGTTGGCATTTAATGCTCCATATTTTCCATATCCCTAATAATAATAATGTTTTTAATTGATTATAGTTAAACATTTCAGCTTGGAAATGAAACTGTCTCTTTTTAGTTCATAATTTGTTTCAAATTAATATACATACTTTTCTAGACCTTTATCTTAACTCTGTCTTATGCAGTTAAATACGTATTTGTAATAGGGGACTGATTTGGAATGCATAAAGACATGCAGCAATGCAACTTGTAAAAGTGATTAAAGAAGATTTTTTTATGGACATGTTATACTGATTTTTTACTATTTCATGTATTATTTAAGGCATAAGCTATGTGAGAAAAAGTAAAGAATGCTTACAAAAATCAGCCTTATTTTGTATAGCGCTGTGGCATTTTTAAAATGTGCCTACAGTCCAGTGACCTCTCTAGCATTTCTATATAGAACAAAGTAAAGCACGAGAGAAATGGTACCTTATGAAGCAGGGAAGGGGGCTAAGGAACTTGATTGGAACAAAGATTCAAGTTGTATAGGAAGCACGTAGAATAAACTAGGAACTTGTAGATACTCTTCTTCCAAAGTCAGGATGGGTTCTTTTGTTTGGGTTTGCTTGCACTTAAAAGAAACTTTTTCCTTAACAGAGATACAAGTTTTATAACATCCACTTTTACTTTCCAGAGGGAGTGCAGTTGCTGTGTCTGATAGATAAAGCTGCTGATGCCTGTCGCTATTTGCAAACCTACGGTGAATGGAATCGTGCAGCTTGGCTTGCAAAAGTCAGTAATTTGTCAAGAGCTTGCTTTATTACATAAGTAGTTCATCTCAAAACATCCCTCTTTAAAGATCAGTGTGCATGGTAAAGTCCTCCAAAGTTTAAGAGCGTACAGGATCTACTCAGAACTACCACGGTGAAAACCTTTTTCCAGTGTATTAAGTTGTAACGTCCTGATTCTAGATAAACTGTTTCTGAACTGAGAGCCTCAGCAGGCCTCTGCATGAGTACAGAGGACCACCTGGAGCATATTACATAATTGTAGTTTAAAATGGAAAAATATGACCATTTTTCTAGTTATCAATGAAAGACTTGTCAAGACTTTTAAAAACAAAATTTAATTTTAACTCCCTCTAAAAATTGGTTTTCCTTGAAAAACCATACATTCTTTTTTGATTCAGTGTATGTCTACAGAATATGTCTACAGTGACAACAGTCCATTTTGACATATGGGGAATGACTAGCTAGACTGCAGTAGTCCAGAGAAGGACCTGTGGGTTACGGTAGATTGTAAGCTGAATATGATTCAACAGTGTGCTCTTGTTGCAAAAAAAGCCAACAGCATCCTGGGTTGTATTAACAGGCGTGTCACTTGCAAATCAAGGGAAGTGATTCTTCCACTCTATTCAGAACTGGTGACGTCTCAACCTGGTGTAGTGTGTCCAACTTTGAGCTCCACATTTCAAGAAGGATGTGGACAGTTTGGAAATAGTCCAGCTCAGAGCAACAAAAGTGATCAGGGGCCTGGGAGACAAGGCTTATGAGGAAAGGCTGAAGGAGCTACGATTATTTAGCCTGGAGAAGAGAAGACGGAGGGGAGATTTGATAATAGTCTTCAAATACCTGAAGGGTGATTCGACAACGGATGGAGATAGGCTTTTCTCTGAGGCTGGGAGCAATGGCCTCAACCTGCAGCAGGGAAAATGTAGGTTGGTTGTTAGAAGGAACTTTCTGAGTGTGGTCAAGCATTGAGACGGGCTCCCTAGAGAAGCTGTGGAATCTCCATCCTTACGAACTTTCAAAAGCAGGTTAAACAGACACTTGGTTCATATGGTTTAATCAGGGATGAACCTGCCTTGAGCAGGGAGGTGGACTAGAGGACCTTGTGATATCCCTTCCAGACCTACTTTTATTTCATCCTGTCATAACCAAGCTAACTTAACTAGGTCATTCAGATACAACCAGCGGTAGCACAGCTCAGCATGGATTACAAAGCCCACCCAGGAAACTGGGTAAGGACTTGGATTGTTAGCCTCTGCTGGGCTCTTTCCTGCTGTGAATCTCCTACTAGAGTTAACTAAATAACTACTTAAAAGCTAGCTTGGATGTTTCTACATGAACTGCAGTGAATACAGTGTAGACACACTGTATGGCTAAACAGCTATAGAAAAAATAAGAATGATTTTTTTACCTCTCTATATAGAACTAAATATGGGTGTCTTTTTGTCTGTTATAAAGTAATAAAGATTTGCCAGAGGGGAACATATTAGATTTTTCAAAATAACTCCATCTTTTAAAAAAAATTGGTCACGTTTTCTTTAGTTTGTCAGGAAAGTTTGCGATTTCTTCTCTCTCATTTTATGCCTTGCCTTTTCTGTTGAATTATCACCTGTTGGCACGATCATATTGAACTATTTGAGCAATCCCAGGGCTTGGATCTTTGGCACCTTTTTCAGTTCGTTCTTTTCATTGCTGTAATTGTTTTAGGGACAAATGCATTTCTTGATATTAGCAGGCTAACTAGAAACACAATATGAGTGAGAATCAACTGAGTTTTTTAAATGAAATCAGACTTATGAAAAATCTTGGTATAGTTAAAGCTGTAAACTGTAATAAACTTGTATGTGATGTCATAGAAATGAACTGTTGACTTACAGAAATAAAGAATTCTTTGTCTCTTCCATCTCTTAAAGGTTCGTTTAAATGCAGAGGAGTGTGCTGATGTCTTGAAGCGCTGGGTGGATCACCTTTGCTCTCCACAAATCAACCAAAAATCAAAGGCCATCCTTGTCCTCTTGTCACTTGGATGCTTTACAAGAGTTGCAGAGATGCTGCACAGGTAGAGATAAACGAGTACCCTCTGTGCTCTGCTTTGTCCAGTGTTGTCAGTCAAACATTAAATTGGGAAATGTTCTTTTGCAGTGAACTGCTTGCACCATTTTCTGTTTAAACAATGTATTCTATTTTCTTTAGTTAATAGTCACCTCAATAGTTTATCGTCCATTTCTGTGCAACTGAACTGAACCTTTCGCTGTTATTTCCAAAAAACAGACAGGAGCTTTTAAAGATGTAAGCAGCCAAGCAGCGCTGACATTTTATAAAAATACTAGTTCTAAGTTGAGCCTTATCCTTTCAAAAACTGCACTGAAGATCAGCTCATTGAGTGCTGTTTAATTAGCCAAACAATTTAGATAAACTATCAAATGTTCATGCTGCCAAATAGCCTGAAGTACTCTTAAGCTTTCCTGTCCTAACAAGTTTGTTTCTTCTCTTCATCAGCATGAGGTATTTCGATAGAGCTGCTTTATTTGTTGAAGCTTGTCTGAGGTATGATGCAATAGAAGTTAATGAAGACACAAATATCCTTTTGCTAAAATCATGGTGGGGTGTGTGTGTGTCTGTGTGTGTGTGTGTGTGTGTGTGTCCATGTCCTATATTAGATAGTATGTACAAGAGCAGGAACTTCATTTATGTTCCTCAGTGTGTGCTGTATTCCTGTGTTTTGTTAAATCCCATGCAAAACAAATACCAAATCAGCGGCACTAGGAAGCAAAAGAAAGAGCAAGAGAGGAAAGTGCTTGTGCATGTGTGTATGCATGTGCGCACACACACACACGAATGATTGTTTGAAATCAGAGCTGTGAAGGTTCAGATGATGGAGTATTGGTGTTGAGGGGATTTGGGCTTAAGTCACTGGTTCTTGTGGTGGACGTTTTGCAGTGTTTCAAATCCTACACAAAACCCTACAGTGTGTGCTGCCAAGAATTTTCATTATGGAAGGGGTAAGTTTTGAGGTGGTAAGAATGATGCAACTTAAAAGATCAAACTGCATTGTGAGACAGCTTAATAAAACTACTGAGATCTTGCATATTCCAGTATACGTGTTTGCGAACTTGTTATCTGGGGATTTGTATCTATCAGTTAGATTAGTTTAGAAATAAATGCATATTACTTATAAAATATATGCAGCATGCGTATTAATATTTTATAAAGCTTCTATTGACACGAATTTCAGATGATCACCAATGGTGCCACTTGGCACCATTAATGACAAAGTCAATAGTGTTTCTTATAGCTAATTTCACCAAAATTGTTTTATTGCCAATATCTTTTAATTTAGGTAAATATTAGAAAAATATTAATTATGGACTCCTATTGATATAAATAGACATTAGATGTGCATTTGTGTTCAACTGAATCCCCGCAGACCCTTATCAATGTCCTCCTATTTTTAATGTGTTACTCTCAGACAATCTAAAATAATGGTGCCAGCCAGCTAAGATCACATAGAGAAGGATTTTTATTTTCACCTATCATCAGAAATATTTAAGATAGAATGTGCTGTGGTATTCCAACATGATTACCAGCTGTAGTCATCATTTCCTATTTAGTCGGAGGTTGGCGTGAGGAAAGCCTGTCGTTGAGCTTTCTCTATCACTGCTCTCTACTCTTTTCCTTAATCCCTGTTTACATAAATTGATCCATTCGATATTTGCAGATTATGCCAGAAGCTTGAAGACATTGGGTTTTAAACATGGATCTATTCAATTTGCCTCGAAAGCAGGAGCAGCTGGGAAAGATCTATTGAATGAGCTTGAACAGCCTAAACAGGAAGTGACTAAAGGATGACAACTCTAAGCTTAATCACAAAAAAAAAAAAAGATTCTCATAAGACAGGGTGTTTTTGACACTTCCAAGACTGAGATTACATTGTATGAAAATAACTTCTTTGGGCCATGACACTAGGGGTCAAATATAAGATGTGTTTCATTTTAGCAGCACTTTCTTTTGCAATGTATGATGGCATTGTTATAGAGCTTGTCATTAAGTAGTTCTTATTTATCTCAAAGACATTTTTTAAATTATGTTTGTTTTGGGAAGAAACACGGGAAGATTTAGAAAACAAATTGTAGGACTAAATGTTGCTGCTTTGAACATACAATTAACATTCCAAAATTCACTGGCAGCTTAGAGGGACAACATTCTTTCTTTTTTTTTTCCTTTTTTTCCAAAAGAGGCCTTTTATAAAAATGAAGACTTGTCTTTGCAGTTTGTGCATATGATGCATTCTGTACTTTAAAAACAGAAAATATTTAAGGAATAAATTTAAATGGCAAACATGCATTACTTTTCTTGCCTTGAAAACCATACTCTTCCTAATTCTACAGTTACATTTAGATAAGTCTGGAATATTGTTATTCCCATTGTTAGCTGTGAATAGTATCTTTGAAAGCTATAATTCTATGAAACCCTTAAACAGTTTATAAAACGTATCAAAATGTGTTCTTTCTACAGTGTGTGTGTGGTTATGGATTCTGAGAGATCCTTACATTGCGTATTATTTTAAAACTGAATCCCTCTCCATGCCTTAAAGTCTAAATCCTGCCCTATATGGGTGGTTATGTGGGATCAAAAGAACAGAAAAAGATCTTCTCATACAAGCAGAAGGATAGAATCCCTTTAAAAGCATTCAAGAAGCTTCTAAAGTACTTGATATTGAACCATTTTTGCAGTTCTGTAGCTGTTGTGGCTTAGCTTCTTGTTGACTGGGCTGCTAGCACTGGTAGGTAGCTACAAAAAGCATTGTGTGCAACAGCCCATGGTCTATTATATCAGCCTCTGGTTTACTCTGTGGAAGGCTAGCAAGGTTGGCAGGACTCATATAACTGAAAATGCCTAGGTGGAATTCATCCACAGCATGCTAGCTACTTATCTGACAGTGTTTTTTGCATTATTTCTTATGGCAGATGTATCAATTTTCTTGTATATCTGCATTACGAACTTTTGTGTAACAAAAAATTATCTGCTGAAATATGATTTGCTTTGAATGTGAAGTTGCACTTATAAAATGAAGGTAAGTGCACTGCAACTACTGTTGGCTAAAGAACCCTAGTTTTTTGTAAAAAAAGTTACTGTAACTAACTAAAAAGTGATACTATAAAGATACTTTAAAGAAACATATCACTTAAATCATCAGTTGAGTTTCTAAAAGTAATAGAATATAGTTTCCATATGTCTGCATATTTATTTGCATCTCTTAACTCCATAAAAGTTTTTAACTCAAAGCCAAATTGGCATTTCTGATAACATTTCAAAAGGTTGGTATTTTCAGTGCATAGTGGTTTTTATATAAATAGAAAATGTGAGTTTCATTTATATAAACAGGAAATTGAATGTTTTAAGTATAATGTATCTGATTTCTTCCTGCCACATGTTCCATATACCATAATGTACATTCCTTTCCATGTATTATAAACAAAGTTTATATAATTATGTTAGCTTGGAAAAATAAATATACAATCAAAATTGCCTTAGGCATTAACTTCTAAGCAACCAAGAGAGTTAGGTAAAATAAATATAACTAACTGTGGGTTAAATTCTGGCACCTTCACTCATATTGAGTAGTACATCACTCCTAAATTGCTTCTATTGTTTTCAATAGGACCATTCATAGGTTATAATACTACTCAGTATAAGAAACCACTTTGGAATCTGCCCCTAAACAAATCCTGGGAGGTTTTCATCAGAAGGTCTCTGGAAAAAAAATCTACACATGCTTCACTGTACAGTTGGAATTTTAGATCTGGTTTAATGTGATTTTAAAAGAAAAGCAGTTATTGAAAATGCCTTCCATTTGCTGAATGTGTTTCTATGTGCTTTTCAGTGTGAAGGTTGTACTTACTGCACAGGAATGTGGGGGTTTTGTTTTGTTTTCTCTTGTCACCATTGTATGCAAAATATGGATGCTGTAAAAATCATTGCAAAAATTTATTTGGATGTTAACATAGTCACAGTAATAAAAATAGACTTTGGAAACCACTTTGTTTTTGATTTAATGGAAAAATATTTCATCCACACTATTGGGACCAAATGATGATATCTTATTATTTTTACAGAAAGCCATCCCAAGTGGAATAATGCTCCGGGTAAATCTGGGCAGGGGCAATGGAGTTCAGCTTCATTCACATATAAGCGGCGTTGTTCATTTTCTAGTAGATACATTTTGCTTTTGAATGGTATAATTTACCGACTTTGTCTTAAAAAAAAAGAAACCCAACTGTTGTGGTAGTTAAGGTTGCAGTGGTACATAATGTATTTCCATGCTTTTAAGCCAGTGATTCTCAACCTTTTTAGATTCAAGGCACCCCTTGTTAGATTCAAGAGTCAGCTGTTAGCTTCACGCTTTTCTTGACTATAGAAAAGTTACAGGTCTTCAGTTGCAAAGAGCTCAGGAAGACAACAGGTCAGAGTGCTGGTAGCAGTGGATTCCTATTTGAAATCTCTGGGTTTCTTATGAATCGTATAGGTGTTTCCATCTGGTGCTAATATTGCGCAGGACTTAAAAGCGGCACCCTGGTTGAAAATCACTGTTTTAAGGATTTAGGGGGGTGAGTTAAAAGGAGAGCCTTGTGAATCCTTTAGTCAGCACAGTCTGAGGCTTTTCTTTCCCTCTTCAGCAGCTACTGGCAAACAGTATACACTCTGCCTTCCTCACACTTCTGTTGTTTACACTAGTTCCACAGTGACCTTGTGTTTTCATATCAATTATATGAATAAATAAGACGCATCTGACTGTCATCCGTTCCATACAATGGAAAAGTTACTGTATCACTTCACTGACTTGGTCTCTTTCCTGCTCAGGTAACTTTCTGCTCACCTACAGGGACATTTGGTCTCGTGCTTAGCCTTAGTTTCTGTCTCCTTGAGGCTAAGTACAGACAGTCAAAAAGCTTGAGGCTGATTTGATTCAGTTTTTGCAGGTTAGTCTAAGATGCACAGATTAAATTGAAACAGAAGTGAACAAATATTTACCTTCAATTCAGGAAATGCACCCACATCCTTGCAGTGGCTCAGGCCAGAAGCTGGGCGGGCGCACGAGGATGGCTGTCTGGCATGTAGCCAACATGGGCTGTATGCTCATTTCCTGTTCCTGGTTCCCCCAATGTCTCTGGCATTTGCAGTCCAAAATCGTAGCACCGGGATAGCAGGGTTGCTCATCTCTTCCTCATCCTGCTTCCAAGTGTTTCTGGGATTTGTAGTTCACAGTTGCAGCCAGCAGTAAGTTTGAGCAGGGGAAGGGGTGTTTAAACCCTATCCCTGACTCTAGACCTGAGCCAGGGTTTGCCTAAGGGGGGCAACCTCCTCCCCCCTGCAGACTAGGCTGTATCCCCAGCAAGGCTTGCCTATCCCACCCCTTGTCAGCCAGAAGTCACTGCTCCAGCCAGGGAGCACAGAGGTGAGACCAGCCCTGCTCTCTGGAGCAGATAGCCCAGCATAGCCCAGGACTGCAAAGCATGCTGGGATGCTGGAGGACTCTGATTTAACTTGAACCAGGGAGGGGTCTGGGACAGAAGTTGCATAAACCAGTTTTGACCCAAATCGGTTAAGTCTGATACTACATTGGTATCAGACTTAATACCAGGTTTATCTTAAACCAGTTTCAGCCATTTTGAAACTGTTTATGCGTACTGAACTTATGTTCTGTTACAGGTTTTAAACAGGTTTATGTGTGACTTCTGTCCCTAGCTTAAGTGACTGCATTATTTAATTAACATTTGGTAGATTTATTTTGGTGCACGGTCATGCCATTGTGGCTAAAAATCATCTTGGATAAATGCTTGCAATATGAATTCAGATTCTAGAAATCAGCATATGAGGGAACAGCAACATGACCAAAGGCCTTGTATCAGGGTGTATGGGAATACAAAGTAAAAGTGAAATAACCAGGGGAAGAAATTGCCCGGCTAGATTATTTTTAAACTTCTATTTCTTTCTCTGACACTTTTCTTTCCTTTAAACCATCATGAAAAATTCAAGTAGTGCCTAAAGCTTATATTCTGTTTTGCCATTTCTAAATTTTTAATAAACAAAGGTCTAATGCTCCTGTTAAAACTGAATTCTATAGCACAGCCATAACTATGGTGCGCCAAACTAGCAGCAATGTTAAGTGGTGAATAAACCATATGAGTTGCATTAATTGCCCTAATTGTTTATGTATTTATATAAATAGGAGGGTTTTTTAAATCTGTTAAGCTCACGTCTTTTCGTTACTTTGGATTTTACTTGAGAAAGGTCACAAATTCTATCCTTAATTAACCATGAATTACTTGTTGAGATGGTATGCCAGCAATATCTTTTTTTCTTTTTTTTTGAACACAGACTTATAGTTATAGTCCCTTCTGTTCAATGCCTTACAAGTCACCATGTAAATCTTACGCTATTATTCTGATAGGACAAATACTTGCCTATTTAACTTGCATCTGACTCTTCAAAGATGGGTAAGATGTTTTCATTTTAAATTTTAACACCTTATTATATATGGTTCATTCAGGCCTGCAGATTTGTGCCTGCCCAAAGAAGTCCTTTGCTCCTTCTTGTGATCTGAGAGAGGTTAATGGGGAAATTTTTGGGATTGCTATGATTTAATTTACAATTATTTTTCCATCTAATTTAAAAAAATGATCAAACTATTTCAGATAATATTTGTACTTGACAATAACATCCTTATTTGGAAAGTAAATGCAAAGTCTGCAATGGATTCTAGCAACTATGAAATCTATGAAACTTAGTTTTAATATTAAGGCAGCCTTGATAAGGATTGAATTATAACATGTTATGTTGTAATGGCAGTAGTCTGTATAAATTAACC